TTTTGTCTTCCAGTCTGATTTCTAAGAACCTGAAAATTAAAGTATACAAAACAATAATCTTGCCTGTTGTTTTGTATGGGTGCGAAACATGGTCTCTCACTCAGAGGGAGGAACACAGATTGCAGGTGTTTGAGAATAGGGTGTTGAGGAGGATATTTGGGCCTAAGAGGGAAGACGATGGGGCATGGAGAAAACTGCATAATGATGAGCTTAAAAATCTGTACTCCTCCCCCAATATTGTCAGGTGATTAAGTCGAGAAGAATGAGATGGGCTGGGCATGTAGCGCGCATGGATGGGACAAGAGGTGTGCACCAGGTATTGGTTGGGAAGCCTAGAGGAGATCTAGACGTAGATGGGAGGATAATGTCAGGCGGGATCTATGGGAGATAGGAGTTGAAGGAGACTGGATTTTGTTGGCCCAGGACAGGGTCCGATGGCGGGCTTTGGTTACTTCGGTGTTGAAACTTCGGGTTCCATAAGCCATATAGTTAGTTACGTAAGGAAGATATTTTGGTTTCAAGTGAATGTGTGTTTTTACCAGAATATCAATTAGCCATTATTATTTAAACGCTGAAACAATGCGGGAAATTATTTTTTGTAAAGTTCTTTCAGTAGTCGTCACAATCCTCTGACCAAAAATATATAATTTCATAAAGATTTTTAGTTTGGGAAAATATGGAGAAAGTCACGTGGCCAATTCAATAAGCTCATTGGATGTTTCGACAATGTTAACTCCTTTCGAGGCAAAATTCATTTAAAAACTGCGGAAATGCACAACCATGACGCAAACTCTACTTCTTGAAAGAATATGCTACCAATAGAACGATACAGATTACGGAATTCCAAGTTTAACGAGAAATATGGTAAAATAATGCCAAAGCATGGTTTTGATCTCTGACCACCGAGGTTTCGTGGCTGTTGGAGACAATGGGTAACATTTTTTGATCGCACTTTAGGAAGTAAGCCTCACTAGCTAGTAATGCCCCAAGAAGGTCTGGGTTTTCCAAAAACTTACTGAAATTTCTAACCGAATTTCTTGTTCCCCCCACCTTTTACTTTTTGGACAAGTACACAAAAACAGCCAATGACACACTTACTGCACCTTAAACCAAAGCCAATGGTAATATCTGCGTAATATAATTATGTAATCCGACACGTGCTGGCTCAACAATGCCAACTGATGCACAAAAGTACCAAATAAATAATACCTGTATGGTAAGTGTCCTATTATGCTTGTCCGTGGCGATGTGAATCTCTAAGGACCGGGCATCGGGTCCTTCAGCGATTTCGCCAGTCAGCGTCAAGTAACGCATCTTCTCCAGGGCGTCACTGGCGTTCGATATCAGCTCCCGCACGAACACCTGCAAACCAACCGCAAACACATATCACTCTGAGATGGCAGCTTTCTTTACTGAACCTTCATAAAGGCTTCCATATAACAGGAATGGAATAATTCTTTAACGATATGTGACGTATTCACGTACGTTTGAAGAAATGGTAGTATTTCTTTTTGTGAAGAATGGACAACGTGTATCAACTGTTGCCACTCGTTTTTCATACTTCGTACATAGTAGGATCCATTTTCAGCACAGAAATTGATTATACTAGCTGAAGTTCACAGTAGATTCAGTCAGTTTTAAGACAGGACACGCCATGAGTATACGTCTCCTTTTTGAAACAAGAATTAGCACACAAGTCCGTGACACATTCAACTCACAAATTACCCGTAGAGTACTAGGCGATACAACGCAGAGTTCATACATCTTTATAAAATATGCAGTACTTGTTAGGGCCACTGCTGTCCAGAATTGCAAACAACACGAAAATCACACTAATTTTTTTTAAGACGACAACTGACCAGACTAAAACGTAATTTGTACCATTTCAAGTACATGCAACTCTCGGTTTACGAACGAGTTCCGTTCCAAGACGTTGTTCGTTCTGTGTATTTTGCATTCCTGAGCTTTTACGATACGTATCGTATACGTTAGCAGCCATTTTAAAGCATTAAAACCATACACTAAAAATCGAATTATCTATTCAATACGTTTTATTATATAAAGTATGCATGCGTTATGGTTTATCGTATACGATACGTAACATAAAATAAAATATATTTTATTTTATGTTACGTATCGTATACGTTAGCAGCCATTTTAAAGCATTAAAACCATACACTAAAAATCGAATTATCTATTCAATACGTTTTATTATATAAAGTATGCATGCGTTATGGTTTATCGTATACGATACGTAACATAAAATAAAATATATTTTATATATTTTTAAGTCGCCACAAATTGGTCCGTATCACTTGGTAGTTAAAGTACTCTATGCCGAAAAGTATGAAAATGACTACGTTTACATTTCTTGAACAGTGTTCCTCTTGATACAGACATATTCAAGACCACCACAACTCAAATTTCCTCTTGGTATATTCAGATTGCTTGTAACTAAAAATACAGAAAGCTGAAACGCAATAAAAGTCTATGCGAAGGACATATAAATGGACAGACATCACACTCTAAACAAAGAAAAAGACAGAGCGAAACATTAACAACTGAAGGCGTTGTGTACGTGACTACAGGCGGTGACCTCCGCCCCTTGGAATACCGCACATTTATATAAGTCACCGGTAAACAAATATAAGTGACTGACTACGAACTGGATGAGCGGGGTTGGATCCCCGACAGGGGCAGAGGATTTTTTTCCTCTGGCCTCTGCGTCCAGACCGGCTTTGGGGCCCACGCAGACTCTGTACGATGGGTACCGGGGTACATTCTCGGGGATAAAGCGCGGCCTAGGCGTGACACAGACCACTCACCCCTGTCACTCCTGCGCCTAATTTTTGAAACGGAAGAAATAAATCATTTTTCCCAGTTTCTCTTTTTTCTATACAAGCAAGGACGTGCTGTTTCGGCGGTAACAGGTTTAAACATTAATAATATAATTTATTTATTTATTTGAAGATCGCCCTGATGACGGAGGCAGTATGACCTCTGAAACGTTGGTAAACATCTACCAAACTACACAGCGCAAGAACCCAGAAGACAGGAATCTTCATCGCCCTGATGACGGAGGCAGTATGACCTCTGAAACGTTGGCTAACATCGACCAGACTACACAGTGCAACAACCCAGAAGACAGAAATCTTTATACTCACCGCCATGATGATGGAGGTAGTATGACCTCTGAAACGTTGGTTAACATCGACCAGACTACACAGCGCAACAACCCAGAAGACAGAA